TGTTTAAATAGAATAATAATAAATCATCAATTAGAATGATAATAAATTATTCAAGAAAAATGATAATATTTTATTCAAGAATAATAATATATCATTCTTTTTAAATCAGATTAGCAAGTTAATCAAATTAAAACCTAACCTGATATTATCATGATCAACCTAACAGGTTACCTGAATTGACTCAGAGCAACTTTTGACATTTTATAATAATTTGGCTACATGTATAAGAAGGATAAATAATAATTGTATTTTAAAAGTCTATAAATTTAACTTTATATATCAAATCTTTCTAAATGCATCTTTTTTAAATGCACATATTATATATTTTTCTCTAAATTTAATCTAAGCATATAAATATATAAAATTTTCTTTTTAATCTTTTTTAAATTTCAATACGATTTCAAGAATTCGTTTGACTTTTTCACGTCAAAGTTAATACGTCATACGTATTTAAACGCAAAATTGGAATTCATTATACAAATACAAACTAGTTAAAATATTAATTTATTTTCCTTAATTTGTTTGTTTCTTATATGTTCTATATACAACCAAACAAAAAAAAATACAATTAAACGAAGAACGGAGTTTTATAAAGTTTAGTTCTTAATAATTACACTTCTCTCGATTCAACGAACTAAATCTATTAAAATTATTCTTTTGCTTTTGTATTGTGTTATTTTTATTTCTTTCGATCGTTATGTAGCGAGAGCCTCGGAATACGTGTTATTAAACTTATTGGTTTTGTTGTTTCGTAATAAATTTTATGTTTTTTTTTTTTAGTGATTATTATTATTATTATTTTTATTTTTTTTTTTATTCATAATTTTAGTCTCGAGTAAAGAATTCAAGTGCGATCAATACACCATCTTCCGTTCCACAAATCAACCATTCTTGTGTCATTTTTAAACAAGTTACTCCACTATCTATTTGAGCAAGAGTAACGGCAGGGAACGGGATATTAAAAGAACTTCTCTTTTTTGGCACCGCCAAAGAGCGCGAGTTATTTAACTGATAATGTTTGATATAACCGTCGGAAGAAACAGAGATAAGGCGCGATTCATTACACTGAAGATCCCAGACGATGTCGGTATGCTCTTTGGTGGAATGTAATAATTGACCCGTATTTAAATCCCACATGCGGATTGTGGAATCGGCGGATGCGGAAAAAATAAAAATAGATTTACGAGATGTGTTGAAGTCACTGAATTCCATATCGTTACTATGGTTGTTTGTGTTAAGGTTTTCGGGCGGACTAGGAGGGGGAGTAACGTTGTTCGATGGCGAAGAAGAAATGTTATTTTGATTTAAACG